TCCTCACAAGCCAGACTTGCCAAGAAGCAAGTAAACAAACCTGATAAAGCACATTTTCCACTAACTGTTATTTGCAAATAAGTGTTCTGTCATATGCTGCTGTATTCATAGAAGAGGTTGTATACAGAACCAGATCTGGTTTTCTATAAGTGACACTTTCTCTTCTGTATTTTCCTTTTCTTCGCTAAACCCTTCTGTTGCAGTCTTTGCACTAATCTCTTGTATTTATTGATGATAATCTTTATTATAGTTAAACTCCTACTTGCGTAACCCATTCTTAAGAGGCTGATTATTGACACATGTAACCTTTTACCATCTTTTCACACTTCTAGAAGATGTTAATTCATACTGCTTGTATTTGAACTTGACTGATGGAATGGAGCTGAAGACCATGCAGAAATACTTTTTTTTTTTCCCCAAAACAAACTTGGAGTCCAAGCATAGCTATGAGAATATATCACAGTCCCATGGGATCAGACTATCCAGCCCAGCATTTTGTGTCTGACATGGCTGATGGTGGGCATGTCTGCACGAGCACAGGGATAAGACATAGAGCTCCTTCTCGAGAGTATTTCCCTAGGCTTCAACAATTTGTGATTTTCTGGGACAGAAGTGAGGTCTTTGCCTTATAACTTCTACTAATACTGTCAGTGACACGTGAAAACCTCAGGTCAGTTAAAAAATGAAATCCAAGTTAAGCACCGCAGTAGAAATTGTTCATAACGCCAAAGGGCTAGGGACTGAAATCCTTCGGGGCCTCTGTGTGCAGGTTCCTGAGTTACCACAGCAGAAATAACAACCCACCCGAGCCCGTGGGTGAGGGTGCCATCCTGGCACCACGCAGGACACTCCCTCGGCAGTGCAGGTCACCCCTGTCACCCACGCAAGGCCTGGGAGAGAGGGCTCCGGTCGCCTGCCCCGTGTTATGCCCACAGAGCTTAACCTTTTGCCTTGCTCCTGATATTCTGCTTGCTGCTCCTGCACAGGAGCAAACACAGAGTAAAAGATGGAAACAGGAGGAGCTGCTACAGCTTGCTGGGACGGGGGACGGCCAAGTGCCTCTCCAGCACCCCTGTGGCTTGCCTCAATGGGGAGTGGACGCTCCTTCTCCCATGACATCCAGGCAGAGATGGGCAGTAGAAGTAGGGGGAAAGTTCCTGTTAACTCTCACCTAAAAGTTACATGGATTCTTTATTCCCAGACTATTTAAGCCTTTTCCCACCTGATGTTTCCCCTCGTTTAAAAATTGGCTTGGCTTCCAGCAAAACATTTCCCTGATGCTTCCAGTTCTTTGTTGTGGAAAGTACAAGTAGGAGGAAGGTTTCACAACAGTACCTCTGAAACCTGAATCTTTGCAAACCATCCTTTTTGTGTTTCTGGTAATAACAATTTTAGCCCTGGGAGAAACTGTGAACTTTGCTCAGTAAAGTTGATTTTCTCCTCTATTTGAGCTCTAAGCTGGGTTTGATTTCTGTGTTTTAAATGGTATCTAGTCACTGCCACCTGGTGCCAGGACATGCATGGTCTGGAAGAGCTTTCTTCTCTTATCTGATGATGGCTCTTCTGCGCCAAGCACCATACAGCTGCCACCTTCCTCCCTAGTTTAAATAGGGTTTTGTATGTGGAGTAAATTTTGGAAGGAAAATGACCACTGGTGGTATGGGGAGAGGATCCAGCCTTGTGCTACAAACACCAGGGGCTGAGGTTGCTGGATGAGGGGCTGACCTTCCTCCTCTCCTCAGCCCTTTGAGAGGTCCACAAGTGTAGTGTGAGGCAGGCGCCTATGTCCTTTGTTAAACATCATTAACTGGAGATGGGGAGAAATGCAGAAAGTTGGTTTCCGAGAAACTATGCTTCTGCCCAAGGACCCTCATATCTGTAAGGGGAATTAAATCCATTGTAGGCTGGGTAGTGACAGATGAGAATAAGGTAGTTTCCAAGAAGCCTAAATTAGTTAGCTCTTTAATTTGCCTGTTATGTAAAGGAGGAGAGGGAATGTCCCCCGCCCTCTTGTGTAAGAAGGGGTGCAGGGGGACTGGACGGCGCCTCAGAGGAAAGTAAGGTGCAAGAAGGGCAGCGAGTGAAGTAAAGGGACAAGTTATGCAACTTTCACTTAATTGAGAACTGTATTTCAAATCTGCAGAAAACAGCATGTTGCTCCCCTTGTTCCTTAGACAGAAAGGCACAGTTTTACAATCTCCTTTAATTGTTTTGCTGATAAGCAGGCATTTCACATTTCTGACACTATACAAAATGTCCTTTAGAAAACTCAGTCAGTGCCATGGCCTTTTCCAGCTGGAACATCAAAACCAGAGCCTGGCTGGCCAGCTAAGTTTTCACCCCATAACACAGTGTCTCAGCTGTGGCTGGCCAAGGTACTCCAGCTAGAAAGGGAAAAAAACCTGCTGCAGGAGCAGTCAGGTTCAACTCCTGCTTCCACCCTTGCCCAAACAGGTAGCAGTGCAAATAGGGCACAAACTTCCCGGCCCTTGAGGCAAGCTGGCTTGGCGTGCACCGGGACAACTTGTTGAGTACATGACTTTGTACGATCGCGCGTGACTTTGTATTTCCATTCTGCAAACACTGACTGCCAGCCAAAGTTTAGTCCTCTTCTGCTTATTTTATAAGACCCCTACTGTGACCCATACTGTTACAGACTCCTACTATAAACAGCTATAGAGTGAGCGAACCTTCCTTCTTTGGCAAAACTCTCAAGGGGTAATTCTGCGCCGCACAGACCTGCCCCGTACCTCCCAGTGTCCAAGGAAAGGTCAGGGGGTTACTCCTTCCTGGGGAAACCCTCCTCCTGGCCTGGCAATCCCCGCGGCCTGAAATGAGCCACTTGGGCCACTGGCAACTGAATATAAATTTGTTTTTGCATTACTCGAACGAGCAACAGGAATAGCTTGATTCTGGTTAGCCTCAAGATCTGAAAGCAGAGCTATCAGAAATCGCTGAATCAGAGGATATGGATCTCTGACAATAATAATATTTATGAATCCTTACCAAAAATTGCTGAAGATGTTTTTGTTTTTTCAGAAAAAAAAAAAAATAGCACCTTCAGAGGTCCCTGCGATATGTTTGTGCTTTGTTACTCAAAGGAAACATGCATGCCATTTTTGCCAGCTAACAAAATACTTTCTAACAAGGCATTTTGACAAAGCTGAAAATATCTTACACCAATATGAGTCATTTTGGCTTCAAGTGCACATCTTAGAAAAAGGAATCTCAGAAAAAAAATCTCTTTTAAGTAAGTGCTGGCATGAAATACGGCCTTTAAGTGACCGGCCTGGAAAGGCTATGCATATTTGTATTCTATACAGAACGATAGCCATCTTTCAACCCACACAACTGCTTTGTGTTTTTTTCTTTTCTTTTTTTTTTTTTAAGACACCAAGAAGCCAAAAAAAAAAAATCTAATTTCTTTCCCAACTTTTGGATACTGATAAAGTTTATTCCTCCAGTGGGCTATGGTTACTTTTTATATGTAGCTAGGTGACCTCTGCTGGTAGATTCTTATCATAACTGCAATAATTCACACACACAGGTACAGATACATTGGTATTCTGGTAAGCGCTGCCCTACATACACAAGAAGACATAATACACAAAAAGATACAATCCCTGTTCTGCAAAATAGACTCCCACGCTGAAAAGGTGTGAAAAAAAACCATTGTATAACCCAGCTTTCTCCACTCGCAGATGCTTTGTGGGGCAGTTTTTTAAAGAACCTTTGATGAAAAGGTATGACCATCTCAGGATGGGGCCACTGGTGTTTATTCAGCGTAATGGTCTAAATGCTCACTATTGCTCGGAAAGCCCCTACACTTCATCCTGTTAGAAGCAGGGAGGTTATACTGAGGAAAGGATTAGTCTCCACTTGCATTCCTTTCTGGTACTCTTCCTCATACCATCCACTAACAGCCATTGTGGGAGAATGGATACCAGCTAAATGGACCTTTAGTCTGACTCAGCACAGCCGTGGACGGTCTGTCCGCTGCGATACAGCAGCACAGTATAATTTGATACTTTAAAAAAATGGCCATTCACCTGGGAGATCACAATGCAACTTGCAGTTAACAGCCTTGGTCTTTGTGATATCCAAGGTCATTTCTATTATTACAGCACAGTGCACGGAAATACCACAAATACCAAGAGAGTCTTATCTATTTATCATAGGTGAAATTGGCACGCTTTGCAGCACGACGGCTCCACATCAGATCACAGGCATTTGAGTTCACTTGAGTTTATTATATTCAGACGCTGGCCTTCTCAGTCAAGAGCTCAGTGGATTTCAAGCGTGTACGTACTTGCGATGACACTGCGAACAGTTCTCGAGTGTCCAGCTTCCACGCTGACAGCTCCTGCCCCTCGACACAAGGCAGCAAACGCCGGAAAAAAACCTCACCCTGACCTCGCCAGAGTTAGCGGTAGGAGCCAAAGGCAAGGCACAGGCCTGCCCTCCTCCTCACCGCACACCCCTGCCTTTACACGCACGGCCCAGACCCTAAAAACCGCAGTGGCACGTCGCCCTGCCTCGCCAGGGCAGAAAACGGAGGGGTTATACCCCAAAGTCTCACCGCTGCTGCCAAACCCAAACCGCCCGAGACCCCACGGCCCCCCCCTCCGGCAGGGCCTGCGGGGAGCGGGCCGC